TTTCGGACCATTCTCTCTAAACCCTAGAGAAGGTTGTGCGTAAAAATCCCAATAGATCAGCAGTTTCTGAAATACTTAGACCAGCCACCCTGACACCAACAACCATGCCACATACAAGTACCCTAAATCCCTTTTCTTCCCCATTCTGATGCTCCGTGTGAACTGCAGCAGATCGACTTCACCATGTCTGCATGCTTAAATGCATAGAGTTGCTGCCATGTGATTGGCTAATTAGAAATTTGCGTTAATGAGCAGTTGGACAGGTGTGCCTATTAATGTGGCTGGTGAATGTATAATCTGTCCATGTGAAAACCCAAAAACGCACTTTGATGCATGTACCTTTATGCATGTCTGCAGAGCTCATTAATATTCAAAACTATTCCAAAAGTGGTGCTGGAAGTGATGTTAATGAGATCAGCAGGGGGAGCCCAACCTGTGGTCTGTGTGGGTCCTAATGCCCAAGTATAGCGACGGTGACTCTATACTGCTCAGTTAGTGCTGTCTTTCAGATGAGACCTTAAACCGAGGTCATGACTCTCTGTTAAAAAAACCCAGGATGTCCTTCAAAAAAAGAGTAGGGGTTTAACCCCGGCCTCTTGGCTAGATCTGCCCACTGGCCTCTATCTATCATGGCCTGCTTACAATCCCCATACCATAATTGGCTTCATCACTCTGTCTCCTCTCCACCAATCAGCTGGTGTGTGGTGTGCAGTCTGGCCAATATGGCCGCCGTTAGGTTGTCCGGGTGAATGCTGCATACTGGTGGTGGATGAGGAGATTCCCGCCAATATGTAAAGCTCTTTTAGTGCCCAGAAAAGCACTATATAAATATAAGGAATAATTACTATTATTATTAATATTATTTTAAATATGGTCAAACCAAACTTTTCATACTTACTGGGCTTAAAAATGAGCATATACAAATGTTTCTGAATAATTTTTGACTTTACCAAAGCCACATATCTATGGTGTAGATATCAGAGAAATGTTGACTTATAAAATCTTGATGGCGCCTTCAAAATCGCATGATGCTTTAATGCACATGCATATGCATCTTGTTGGTGTTTTCATTTTTTGTAAGGGCTTCAGCTTGTTTTATTTGAGTGATGCGGTGAGGCAGGAAATCAGGAGGGAGAGAGAAGTGGGATGGAATAATTGTATTCTCTATGCCAGATGCAAAATTGAGCACCTCAGCTCTGACATGTGACGTGCACAGGATCTTCCTGACAGTGTCCTGAGAAATCATGTCCGTCTCTGTCACAGACTTTACAGCAAACAATAGTGTGGGGAGAGACACATGGGGGGGGGGGGGTTTCATGGCCCTTTAACAAGAATTATTTATATTATTTATAAAATTTCTCATTTATTGTATTTTATTAACGGCTACCCCATCCAAACCCTAAACCCAACCATTACAGTATAGTAAAAACAGTAGTTGTACAGAATAGTATTTATGTTATCTATTAAATTACCCAATAAATTGTATTTTTTAATGCCTACCCCCACCCAATCATCACAGTACTGTAAAAATGTAAATTATCGTTATACAGTGTCATAAAAAAATGTTGCTATATTAATGTGCATATCGCACCTCTGGCCGGCCG